GGCCGCAGTGGCCACCTCCTCCGGGTGACCCCGAAGTGCTTTCTGCTGGGGCCGGGGGGCGGGGGGTACATTGCTGCCGCCCTCCACGGGGCCTTGCCAAGGCCGATTTCTTGCTCCTAAATTCGTTCCTTTCTAAATGTGAAATTTAAATTCATTTTTAAGTGACCACGGACATTTTCAAACATATTCACCGTGGGAGAGCGCAGTATTCAGAACCTCACAGCCGCCCAGCCAGTGTGGCTCAGTGGTTGAGCATCGCCTGATGAACCAGGAGGTCCAGTTCCCGGTCAGGGCACAGGCCCGGGTTGCGGGCTCCATCCCCAGTGGGGGGCATGCAGGAGGCAGCCGATCCATGATTCTCTCTCATCATTGATGTTTCTCTGAAATCAGTTAAAATATATTTAAGAAAGAAGAGAGGCCTACCCAATACCTCATTTCAAGAATGATCCATTTATGGACAATTTTATTTTATTTCTGCTCCTGCCCCCAAACTGGATACATTTAAATCAAATTCCAGACAATCCACGGTGTCACTGGTAAATGTTTTGATTGGTTACTTCCTTTTTAAAATGCAACTAATCCATTCCAAGGGGGAGATGTTTTTAATTTAAAAAAAAAAAAGAAACAAAATTACCCATAATGCAATCGCCCGGTGTTGGTTTGAACAGAGTGGCTCTGTGGAAAGGAGTCACCCCGAGTGGGTGCGATGTCCTTGTCACCTGCCCTTGGGTGACCCTGAGCCAGGGGCCTCTCGGAGCCTCGAGGTCGGGGTTTGAGGAGGAGGGAGAGGGTCGCCGCTGGCTCCACGGGGCACCCGGCCGGTCCTGAGGCCTGTGACGCGCTCGGCCTCGGAGCTGAGCCGGAACGCAGCTGCTCCCCACAGACACGCAGAAGGCTCCGGAAGGGTGCGGCCGCGTGGGAGGGACGGACACTTGTTTGCTGTGGGGTTTGGGACCTCAGCTCGCCGGCCGCCTGCGCTGCCTCCGGAAGCTGAGCTCAGGGCCGGGCTGTTGACAAACGCTCACATTTGATCGGAGTGACTTTTGCCTTCGAATTCCACACACGCCCTTTGCTCTGGAGGGAAAGGAAGAGCAAGGACTGAAAGGCAGATGCGGCCTGGGCATGTCTACTTTACAGATGGGAAGACTGAGGCCAGCGAGGGGAGCCACTGGGACCCAGAGCTGGCCAATGGCAGGGCTGGGGCCAGGGGCCAGGGGCCAGCCCCGTGAACTGGACAGGCTGACAGCGTGGGAAACACCAGCTCAAACACTTCCCGCCCCCGACCCCTCCCCGCCCGGTGCTGGTCAGAAAGCCTCGGAGAGGGCCATGGGTGGGGCGAGCACCGCTTCGAAGGTCGGGGCCTTAAGGTTTCTCCCCAGAGACTTGTGGACGTCAAGCTCGCAGGGACCCCTGTCCAGAGAGAGAGGGAGGTCATGGCCGGGGTGTCTGGCCAAATGCAAACGACTTCCCTCCCTGTTCTCACGAACTGAATCCACTGAATCCGATAAAGGGCTTCCTTCCTCTTTCTCACCGGCTTTCACCCCTGTGCCTCGCCACCAGCCCCTCCTGCCACACTATCCTCCGCCCCTCCACCCTCTGGCGCCCGGACTTGACCTTGCCCGGGAGTCGGGGAGTCAGGGGCCACCCGACTCTGCTCAGCTCGAGGCGGGTTCCTTCTCGTCTTTCTGACGCGGATGGGGTCGTGTTTCACTTCTCCAGGCGGGGGGCGGGGGCCGGGGTGCAGTAGCCACCGTCACCTTATTTCTGGCAGCTGCGGGGGCCCTGGGGCCGAGGTGTCTCGTTCTGGTTCTGCCACCAGACCCGCCCCTCCACCTGGCCGCTCCGGTTTCCTCTTTCACGCCCCAGGGAGAGGCGTCTGCCACGCAGGGTGGGGCGGAGGGGACCGTGATCCTGGCTCATGGGAACTGAGCACCTACTATGTGCTGGGCCAGCGCAGGCTCGGTCTCATGGAAACCTCACGTAGGAAAACGAGCTCAGAGAGAGGAGGTGCTGGCCCAGGATCCCCCCAGAGCGGCAGGTGGGCAGGCAAAGCCTGCTGGTTTGATACCGGTCAGGGCACAGGCCCGGGTTCCAGGCTGCGTCCCCAGTGCGGGGCGTGCAGGAGGCAGCCGATAGACTAGCTCTCACATTCATGTTTCTCTCTCTCCCCCTCCCTTGCTCTCTCTCTAAAAATCAATAAAAAATCTAGCCCGGCCCGCGTGGCTCAGTGGTTGAGCATCGACCTATGAACCAGGAGGTCACGGTTCCATTCTCAGTCAGGGCACAGGCCTGGGCTGCGGGCTTGATCCCCAGTATGGGCCGTGCAGGAGGCAGCCGATCCATGATGCTCTCTCACCTTTGATGTTTCTGTCTCACTTTCCCTCTCCCTTCCTCTCTGAAGTCAATATTTTTAAAAAATTAAAATATATATATAAAAGAAAAGTAAATTGAAAAAATTAAAAATGTTAATTAAAAAAAATAATAGTAACACCCGTATGATACCCCTGGAACTGCCAGCAACAGAAGCTGCGGACTCATCGAATCGGACCATGTCCCCCCATTCGCACCTCTGCCGTGTTTGAGTGACAGCTGCAGACTGGAGGCCCGATATCTTACTTCTCCGAGGAGGGGCTCAGTCTGTAATTTTCTGGCAGGATCCCACTGCGCTGATGAGGGGCAGGGTCAGAGCCAGCGGGGCAGAGAGGGACGTGAGCGTTCCTTGGCTCATGTCCATTGGTTGTATTTCAGGGCTGCTTAGATTTGTTAACAATGACATAACTTTTTAAGGATTCAATCATAAAGATATAAAGCTAATGGATTTCAATAAGGCTTAACCCAATATAATATTTACACATAGAACGTTAATACAACACGGGTAACATAAATACACTGAAAACAAATTGAAACAGCACTGAAATGAAGAGTTTGCTGTTCACTTTTTCAGTTCCCTTCAATCTGGTGGCGTTTTTAAGGAATCTCCTTAGAAAGCCTAAGAATACAAGGTAAAAGAGCTCAGAACACTCTGTAAATGCAGTTACTGTTCTATGAGTTCTCAATACTAAACTCTGGAATTCTTATGTGATGGATATGGAACACTTGAATTACAAGCACATAGAACGTTAATACAAAACGGGTTACATAAATACACTGAAAACACATTGAAACAGGGCTGAAATGAAGTGTTTGCTGTTCACTGTTTCAGTTCCCGTCAAACCGTTGGCGTTTTTAAGGAATCTTCTTAGAAACCCTAAGAACCCCCTCTCCCCCTCTTTCAACAACTCCGTGAGTCCCAGTGACTCCTGGTAATTTCCCTTCATTCAAAATGCTCCTCTCCCTGCAGAACACGTGGGTTTCGTGGGCTTTGAGCACATACAGGGGAGGGACTGTTTGGCGGAAGGTGTACTCATGTCCTTCTCTCGTCAAACAGACGGACACACAGCTCCCGCCGCTCCCCCATCCAGTCTCCTCTCCGCAGGCCTGTCTGCTGAAAGGCACCCACCGCCCGGGTTCTGGGGGGGGAATGCTCCCCATGTGTGGAGGGGGTGCCTGGCTGGTGGGGTCTCTGCACGCCCCACCACTGAGTTATGAAAGCTCTCCTCCCCACACAGGTGTTTGTTCAGTCGTGGTTGGTAAGGAGGCCCGAGGCAGGAGGGAGAGAGGAGGAGGGAGAGGAAGAGAAGGAAAAGGAGAGAAGAGAGTCCAACAAGACAGGGCACGAGAAATGCAGAGACAGAGACACGCGAGAAGAAGAAAAAGACTCAGAGGAGGGACAGGAAGCCCGGCCAGTGCTGCTCAGTGGTTGAGTATCGACCTATGAACCAGGAGGTCAGAGCTCCATCCCCAGTCAGGGCTCCATCCCCAGTGCGGGGCGTGCAGGAGGCAGCGGATCAATGATTCTCTCTCATCATTGATGTTTTTCTCTCTCTCTCCCTCTCCCTTCCTCTCTGAAAGCAATAAAAATTTTTAAAAATAAAGAGGAAAGAGAGAGAGCGTGTGAGGACGGTTAATATTTATTGAGCATTTATTGTCAGGAAGGGGGGATGCCCGAGACCCGCCCTCTCCTCAGGGGTGTGTGCGCTGCAGCTGGGGGCTGTGATGACCGCCGATGGAGCAGATAGGCTTGGAGGTCAGCCTATTCGAGGGACGGAAGGTGTGAGCTGCCACGCTGGGCAGGCCTGCAGCCAGGTGCCTGCCTGCCTGCCTGGAGGTGGCGCTCCGGCAGGTGCGGGTGGGGGTGGCGGCTGGGGCCGCAGCTCCTGATTTTCCAGGAACACCTGGAAAGCCAGGTTTGTATGTGAAGTCATCCCATTGTGTCAACGGCCTTTACTTTGGAGGTGTTTTTCATAGATTTGATTTCTCAGTGTTTCATTCTGTTTCCACGAGTTCCACATCCTATTCAAGTGCCTCCCAGCTGCCCTGTGGCCGCACAGCAGCCTGCGGTTTGGGCCGGCCGGCGGTCCCCGGTCCGTGTCCAACCTCCTGCCCAGAGGAAGTGACAGGCTGTTGAGGGGACAAGACAAATAAATAGGTAGTTACCACACCTGTGATAAGGGCGATGCCAGACGTGAGTCCCCGGTGAGTCAGCACCAGAAGAGGGGCGGCTCCCGCAGCTGGCAGGTGCGAATCCGGGAAGGCTTCTTGGAGGAGGGTGACGATGGAGCTGACTCCTGGGAGGTGAGTGGGAACAGGTTCCAGAAAGACCCTAATGAGGGCGGGGACTTCTCCTCTTGTTGCCTTCCAGGTGTTGGACAGGCTGTTAACAGCCCTACACCCATCTTGTTGAGCCAGCATTATTGTTCTGGTTTCTAAGCAGAGGAGACTGAACCGGCCGGCGTGGCTCAGGGGTTGGGCATGGACCTATGAACCAGGAGGTCTCCGTTCAATTCCTGGTCAGGGCACTTGCCCGGATTGCGGGCTTGGTCCCCAGTGTGGGGCGTGCAGGAGGCAGCTGATCCATGATTCTCTCTCATCATTGGTGTTTCTATCTCTCCCTTCCTCTCCAAAATCAATAAGAACATTTAAAAAAAAAAAAAAGCTGTATCTTTAAAATAAGAAGAAGAAGAGGAAACAGAAGACACAGAGAGGGTGAGGAGCTTGTCCAAGGACACACAGCCCACACGCAGCTCGACTGTAGAAAGCTCCATGGAAGAGCCGCAGGCCATGTCCACAGGCTGCGGGCACACTGACAGGACAGCAGGCAGCGCGATGCAGCTGACCCTCGTGACAAGGAGTGAGGTTGGGGGTCAAGAGGCAAGAGGGTGGCAGGAGAAAAACTAGGCCCGGCTGGGAGCCAGCCTTTTCCTGCAGGAGAGAGAGAGAGAGAGAGGCCCTGAGGCTCAGAGGTCACACAACCCCTGCTCCTCTCCCTGCCCCCACTCTATAGGAGAAGACATGGAGGATATGGAGACCCAGACGTCCCTCACTTCCCCAGGTCACACAGCGGTTTTGGGGGGGGGGGGGGGGGGGGGGGGGGGCTGCCAAACCCAGACTCGGGGAGGAAGCCCACCCCAGGGAGTGCCGGGCGCAGGGAGCAGGCCCAGGTCCCGGCTTCCTTGGAAGGTGCAAGGGTTTTCTACACAAGAGCCGTGAGTCCGCCGCCTCCTTCCCTCGCACACCCTGGGGGACCCACCTGGTTCTGGCCTCCCCCTCCCCACCCACCACAAAGCTGTTCCTTAGAAACCGGGCCGGGCCCCCGAACCTGGGTTTCCGCAGGGGAGGGCCGTGAGGGGAGGCAGCCGGGTGGGCCGGAGCCACGGGAGGTAAATAAAGTCACTGGCCAGCAAGGGATTTAACAAAAAACAGGTATAATTTTGATTCATCTAGACCAGGGGTCCTCAAACTATGGCCCGCGGGCCACATGCAAATACACAGTGGAGAGAGGCACTCGCTGTGCCCACCCCATCTGGGCCCTGGGCTGGGAGCCACGGGCAGGCGACCCCTGGTCTCCTGGGGCTCAGGTGCCAGTGGGGATGGTCCCAGACCAGCATTCTGCCACCTGGGCACGACCCTGGGGCTGGGTCCCTCTCAGCTGTGAGGGGCTGTCTTCTGCGTCTAGAATGCCTAGCGGCACCTCGGGCAGCAGCGCCCTGGACGTGACCCCCCGTGATGCCTCCAGACCTCACCTAGTGCCCCCGCCGGGTGGGACCCCCCCACCTACCCCTCCCATGGGCCAGAGCTCCACGAGGGACACGCCCTGCCGGCCTCCCGCTCAGCTGTCCTGCCCTGGCACTCAGCAGTAAAAAGATGCAGGGGAAGTACACTCATCCTCAAACACAGTTTATTTCACCCAGTACAGCCACAGCATGCTCACCTCCACATGTGACGCACACAGAGGTTATCACAGAGATTGTAATCCTCCCGCTAAGTGTTCAGAACCGTGGGGCGGCCACCGCGGGAACACCAGAAGCGGGAGCCTGGCCGGCCGGTGGGTCCCCGTGGGCAGCACCGCATCGCCTGGGGACAGTCAGAGATGTGGGCTCAGGCGCCTCCCAGCCCTGCTGGTTTGGAATCTGCGCTTTAACGGCCTCCCAGGTAACCGGGGGCACGAAAAGGCCTGGGCAGGGCGAGGGGGTCCCGGGCCCAGGTGCCAGGCCCCTCAGGGGTGACTGCAGTCGGTACGAGATGCTGGCTCAGTCCTCAGACGCTGCGTCTTTCCGTCAGCGAGCCTGGGCCTCAGTTTGCCCATCCGCAGGATGGGGTGATGAGATCCTTCTCCGGATTGGGTGGAACTCAGTACAAGCTCCGGGAGCACCGTCCTCTCTGCCCAGCCTCCTGAGGACGGGTGGATGGGAAGCAGCTTCTGCTTCCAGGGAAGCCGCCCCGGAGGGGAGACCCCAACCCCACGGCAGGCCCGGAGGTTGGGCCCGTGGAGCAGCCTGGGTGGGGCCCTCACTGCAGGCAGGTGGGTGCGGGCACGGCGCTCACACTCACACGCCCAGGAGCTGGCACGGGGGCGTGTGTGCGGAGGGCGGCAAGGCGCGGCCACCTGAGTGTCTGTCCCCCAGGCCAGAGCACCATGACATGGGCATCAAGGAGCTCTTCCAGCCCCCCTCCCCGTCCTTCCTCAGGAAGCCCCTCCTCGGTCTCCCCCTGCGGCTGCGGGCCAGCCCCACCCCCACCCCCAGCCCAGCCCTGATCGATCAATCGATCAATCGATCGATCAATCGATCGATCAATCGGGTAAAGCCCAGTGCTTCCCTCGGAACCTCAGGCATTTCCCGTTACAACTCGTCCAAAGTCAAGGTGCTGATCTCACCCCCGCCCCCAGGCGGCCTCACTTCCTTTCCCTTTCAGCTGCCTCGCGGCTCCCCAGGCAGCGGAGGGAGGGGTGACGGAGAGGTCAGGAGGGGGCCGAGCCTGAACCTGCTGAGACGGGGTGGGCAGCCCCCCAGCCACAGTGGGGTTCAGGTGAAATCAGGGGGGATGGGTGCTTGGCCCAGAAGCCTCAGGGAGGGTGAATCCTGTTCTCCTGTAGCCCCTTCCTGGGGAACAGCCAGAGTGGGGGAGACACTGGTATTTATGAGGGTGAACACAGCCATGGGGAGGTCAGAGGCCGTGGGCTGAGGACTGCTTCCTGCGCAGTGACCCCGGGTAAGTCACTGAGTCCCTCCGCCCTCAGCGGTCTCCTCTAAACCGGGTCACTTGAGCTAAAAGCCCTCGCAGAGCTGTCTTGTCAGCACGGTGACCGCAGTGTCACGTCGCTCACACCC